TGGGAACCTATGTTTTGTAAGCTGTTTGGATTTTCCAGGTGGCAAACGGGGTCCTTTGTCCAAGACCGCTGCTGAAGACATCTCTCATGGAAGAGACCTAGTCTCGAGGTCTGAGGACGGCCTGAGGGATTTCTAAATTAGGAGGAGATTCAGTCATAGGTCTCTAGTTTTAAGGAGGGGTTTTCACACTCCTGTTGGCTAAAAATGATGAACTGCAGCCAATGAGAGCTGAAAGGCTCTGCCCTATTGATGCTTAGAGAAACAAACCATCTAGTGGCCCGCCAGTGGCTTATCTGAGTGGGCCCATGACCCAACTTTGAAAACCCCAGTGTTAAGGGATCTAGCTGACAATTTCTTGCAGTATGAACACTTTTGTGGGATGTGTGCCTCACCAAGACATTGGATACACTGTGAGTGTCCGTTTGATATTGGGACAGTGTTTAAAGTGCAGTGTTTGAATCCCAAGGAACCTAGCATGTTGTTAGGAGCTTGGCTCCAATACAATCACCCAGAGAGTGCTAGGGCTCAAAAACAGGAACACTCGTCAAACAAATCCTAATTCACTCTTGTCTCATTTGAAGTCAATGAGACTAAAGAATGTGCAATAATTACATGGAAAATAACATTAAGAAAATAACTAATGGATTTGTGACTTAGTATGTGGAAATAAGGGAGCAAGGCATCCTACACCAAGTATACCATGGCTCGCAGTTTGTGAATCATTACAGAAGATCTTAGTTAGTGATTTAAATATTAATCAGACCATGGTCACTTGATCCTAGGAGCTGAAAAGCATTTTATTTGTGGATGAGTTTTTCATGTTGGTGGGGAACAAGGTATGAAGTATTTCATTCATTCACCTGTCCGGACAGCAACAAAGTATTTGCAGATAACTGTAACAAAATAATATACCTGATACAGAAAAGGCAAGACCCAAATATATTCGGCCCTCTATGAAATTTCCTGAAAAGACTGCTTAAGAATGGACTCAGTATTGTCTCATTAGCTTCCAATATCAGAGAATGGGGAGAGGAAACACCACCAAAATATAAGGAGAAAACAAGAGAAAAGTGAAAAGAAATATATTAAAATGTAACTGATCTGGAACAAAACAGAATGAGGCATAAATATAAAAGTGTGGGCTAAATCCTGACTCCTATTGATTCCTACTGAAGCAAGACTGAGCCTTTTCATGAGAACATTTCTTTGTGAGAATGGAAGCAGAATCTGGCCCTAGCAAATTTTTGTTTAAAAAAAAACATAACAAGGATTCCACTGGTTATCAACCACAGGAGGATGATAAAAGGCCCCCAATTCTGTTCTCATGTGCCCTAGTTGCATATTGGTATAATTCTATTGATTTTCATCAGGCTTAAACTATTGTATTCTTTGCCCCAGCAGCTTGACTTTTAACCTGTGAAAACTTTGTACTTAACTACTGTAATTGACGGTTGTATGCACCTGCTAAGTCAGATCTATCATTTTCTGCATTTTATAAAGGTATAAAACAGATCTTACAAGACAAGCTTTGAATGTAGCCGTCTCCCACACTGCAAGCAAACAAATGCATTACCTGTAGAGCTGTCACTTGACTAATATCAAATTAGCATCAGTTTATAGCTGAAGCATCCAATCTCAGAGTAGTAAATAAATCCTCTTGCCAGTGCAGGATTTAAGATATTTCTAATGCCCCAGTCTATGTTCTAACTATAGCTGAAATTAAGAACCAGGCCTTTTTCCTCACAAACATTTTGTGATTCTGTCTCTTGTTCCTCAGGAATGTTCTTTCATCTGTGTATATGGGAACAAGGTAACATTTCTAACAGCTTGTTTTAATCCTAGGTAGTGACACAGGCACCCCAGTGAATGTGTATCATGTTCCTCTGCAGACACAGAAATCTATGGGCAATGCTCAGCATGTTTAGGCTTGCTTGCTCCTCTGTCACTTACAGGTTAATGTAAGCTTTGGAATGGCTTGTTTTCCTTCTTTGTACCATACAATTTAATGTTTTCCCTTACTTCTGTGGATTATATTATTCGCTTTGCCATTTCACAGTTCTGATAAAAAACTCAGAGATGTGGTACCAACCTCCAGTGGGATTCCTCTTGCCTCTTCGATAATTCTCACATACATCTATTCTTTTCTAGAAGTTCTTTTCCCAATCAGCAGCCTCAAACCTCATTCTCTCTTTTTAAATTAATTTGTAACTGTCTATTTCCCCATTTTTGCTGTATATTCTGGCCTTATATGTTGGCACTCTCTCTTTCTCTTTGGCGCTGGCACATAGCTATCACTCCTCACCCAATACATATGCCTCTCTGTTTTCCTTTACCTTCCTTTGAGGGCTCATTTTCCAAATACAGCAAACTGGCTGGCACTTATTAATAAGTTAGAGATGTAGTGTAAATCTTTTCTTCCTCTTCTCTCCATTTGCCCAAAGACTGTGTGCGTCATCTCTGCAGCCTCCCCACTACCAGATAACAGTGATCTCCTTTCATACAAGTCCTAGGCAGTGTTTTGGGAACTAAGTATCAGTATTCTACTCCCAGTTCTGCAGATATGAGTGTGATTTATTTTGTAACTGTGATGGTTGTCTGTAGCATAGACAGTCTCTCCAGATGAACAGTAGGGCTGCGTCTAGATTGGCATGATTTTCCGGAAATGCTTTTAACGCAAAAAAGCCCCGATCGCCATTTTCACAATTGGGGCTTTTTTGCGGAAAACAAATCTGAGCTGTCTACACTGGCCCTTTTGTGCAAAAGCTTTGCACAAAAGGGACTTTTGCCTGAACAGGAGCAGAATAGTATTTCCACAAGAAGCACTGATTTCAGACAGTAGGAAGTCAGTGCTTTTGCGGAAATTCAAGTGGCCAGTGTAGACAGCTGGCAAGTTTTTCCAGAAAAGCGGCTGATTTTCCGAAAAAACTGGCCAGTCTAGACACAGCCTAGGAGTTGAACTCTTGTGAATCTCAAGTGAAAGGGATAAAGTTTGTCTAATTAGACAAGTGCATGGTGCATACAGCTGATTGAACTTTGTGATGTCTCTTCCACAGGACATTCTGAATCAGAACAAACACCCAAAGTTTCAAAAATCCCTTGGGAGAGAAAATTCTAAAAATACTTCATTCCAGAAAAATCAAAACTTTTTCATTTGATTTTGCTAAACAAAACAAACAAACAAACAAAAAAAGAGCAACCAGATGTCCTGATTTGGAAACTCTTTGTATTGCCACCAGCTCCTCACAGATTAGCCCAGGACATCACATGGGTTTGCATAGGAGCAGTTGAGCCACCACAGCTTCTAGCATTGCCACGCCTCATGCTTCATGGCTGGGAATGTGAAAGCCTTGAGACCCCTGTATTGAGCCTGCCTGCCTTGGTGCCCTAAAGGCTTCTAGAGCAGCAGTGTCCAACTTTTCTATGCCCAACATAATTTTTTAAATTTCAAGACAACCCAGCATCTATGCTGGCCCTTCTGAGGCCCCGCCCCTACCCTACCCCACCTACTCCATTTTCCCTCTCCTTGTCACTTGCCCTTCCCTACCCTCACTCACTTCACTGGGCTGTAAAGGGGGTGCAGGCTTGGGGACAGGTCTTTTGGGAGCAGGAAGGGGTGACAGGTGCAAGCTCTGGGAGGGAATTTGGGAACAGGAGGTGAATCCAGGCTAGGTCAGTGCTGGAGTACAAGAGGGGTGCTGGCTCTGGGAAGGGGTTCCAGGTTGGGGCAGAGTGTTGGGGTGCAAGAGGGAATAGAGGAGGGGCTTTGGTAGGGGGATCCGGTCTAGGACCTAGGTGCAAGAGGGGGGGTGAGGTGTAGGCTCTGGCCAGGAGCAGGTGTTTATCACAAGTGGCTCCCGGCAGGCAGTATAGCAAGGCTCAGACAGGTTGCCTGCTGGCCATGACTCCGTATTGCTCCCAGAAATTGATGGCTACGAACTTGTCACTGTGCAGCCATTGGGGGGAGGAAACATCTTGTCTTCGCACACTGCCGCCATCACTGTCCTCACAGCTCCCCTTGGCCCAGAGCCAGCCAATGGGGCTGCAGGCACAGGCAGTTTGCAGACACGCTGTCCCCCTTTATCCAAAACAAAAGGAAAAACTATGTAGCACTTTAAAGACTAACAAGATGGTTTAATAGGTGATGAGAGCACAGAGATGAGCTTGAAGCTGGCAGGCAGCCTGTCTTGAGCCCTGCTGTGCTGTTGGACTTCAGTGGCCCAGAGATCGCGATTGACTGGCTGAATCTCCAGGATTGACCCATTGATCCTAATTGACAGGTTGGTGACTCCTGTTCTAGAGTCTGCAGCTCTAAGGCAGCTCCACCATGCTGACTGCTTCAGAGTCAATGACACTAGGACTTCCAGGCTAAAGTTGGAACCTCCTGCTGGGGCCTCAAGGCTTCCAGACTTCTTGACATGCAGTCTACATCTGGCTGGGGCAGAAATTTATAAAGATCTAAATGTTTCCACACTTCATTTTGGACAATTCAGCATCTTCTGATGAAAAACCACTTCCCAGCCAGCTCTAATAGTGTAAACCCTTTGTAAGCTACTGCCCTCTAGTGACTGTTCCACAGGGAGGAAAAGGGGTTCCACGTGTAGTGAGGAAATTCTTTTTTGGCTGAAGTGTTAGAGACCTGTGTTTTGGAGTTAAGAGACCTGGATTCTAGGCCACCTATAGGAGATGTCTGTGTCCCTTGTATGTGGATTCATTTCATCATAGGATATTAAAAACATTTGTAAAATAGCTCCTTACATTAAACTAGCCAGGAACATAATGATGACAATGCAGCACTTTGTGTCTAAATGCCTCACTTGCTAATAATTATACTGAAAAATTATATGATTTCATGCTTTAGGTTTGTCATCTATAGAATATGTTAAACTGGTCAAAGTTCAATAGCTCATTTGTCTGTTGCAAAACTTCATGCTAACAGAATTAAGTAGAGTGTGAATTTTTTCTAACTTAGCAACACAGTAAAGAATTATACCAGTACTTACTATTTATAACTCATGGCAACATCCACAAAATACTTTCTTCTCTGTCGATATACATTGTCCTTAAATCCCTTAAGAAGGAAGAAGAGACTAAATTATAACAAAGAGAAAGAAAATCAGCTGAAAGAATTTTTAAAGAAATCATAACAGTATCTATTTAGTGCTTAATTATATTGGTTTCTGATTAGCAGCTTCTATTTTACTGTGGGGAAAAAAGCCTAATGTTCCAAAAAGGAACATTTCCAGGAGAAGTGCTCTGTACGAATGCCATCACACAGCCAAAAATATTAAACATGGGGAAACTACCTATGACTCAACTTCAGGCCACCCAAACACCTCCATGACTTTCTCAAGCAGGCATGAAGCTAAGTCCTTAACTCATGTGTCACACTTCTTTAATGGCTTGAAAACTGAATTCATGAAGGGCTTCTTTTGAAGATGCTACTGTGATAGGCACCATCTTAACTATCACACTGGGGACCAAACAAAACACCTCTGGAGAGAAAGCAGGAGCCAGAGCCATAGACAGAAGGGCCCACTTGGATGGCCCCAACTTCATGTTGGGTGGGCAAGAATAGAGGGCAGAGGGATTAGGACAGGAGAGACGGGGGTAACACCCAACCCTGCTCCCTGGCCAGAGAGCTGGAGCAGAGCGGGGCAAGCTGCAGTACCAAGATGGAGGGGAGCAAGTGGAGCAGGACAAGTCCCAGCCCTGCTGCCTGGCTGGAAAGCTGGGTCAAAACGGGGTTAGCCCCAGCACCCTGGTCCTTCACTAGGGCTAGTTTGCCAGGTGGGCTCGAGAGGGATGGGCCTGGGTAAAAAGTGGGCAACTACATCTTGAGCTCAATCCCTATTACTGTAGCTGTAACTGACTTATTTTCTTTGAGGATCAGGTCCAGAGGGTGGTGTGTGTAACATACACACCTGTGCTTCTATACTACTTTAGGTTATTCAAAACCACATGCAACATCTCTTCTTTATACCCAAACACACTCAGACTAGGTCTAGACTGCAAGGTTTTGTCGGAAAAAGTTACGCAAAGTGCACTCCACATTTTGCGTAGATTTTCCTAATTCTTTTGTCAGAAGAGGCTTTTCCAACATTTGGCCTGTCTAGACTGGACCAAATGTCAGGAAACAACCCTCTTACGGAAGCCCCCTTCTTCCTCGGGGAAGGAGGAATACAGGAGCTTCCAAAAGAGAACGTTTGCACTTCCGCAAAAAATAGCAGAAGTACAAATGTGTTCCTTGGATGTGGCGGGGTTTTTTTAGGATACCTCTGGTATCCCGAAAAACCCCCATAGTGTAGACATAGCCTCAGACACATTTCAGTTTTCAGGCTATGTAACAAATGTTCACTTTAAGGGAAAGATTGGAATGGATTTAAATTTAATTTCAAACAGGCACAGTAGCCCAGAAAGTATATTTGCACTTGCTCCACTCAACTAGGCAGTAGTGTAACCAGAAAAAATACCACTTTCCCATCACTGTGCATGGACAAAACCCACAAAAATGATAGACAAACAGCTGTTGTTCAACATAGCCTCAATCCATAGATTCCCAAACCAAAGAGACTATTGTGATCTTCTAGTCTGACCTCCTGTACCACAAAGACCAGAGAACTTCCCTCAGAACAATTTCTAGAGAGAGCTTTTAGAAAAACCTTCAATTTCAACTTTAAAACTATCAGTGCTAGAGAATCCCACATGACCCTTGGTAAAATGTTCCAATGGGTAATTATCCTCACTAAAAAAAAAAAAAAACTGTGCCTTATTTCAAGTCTGAACTTGTCTAGCTTCCACTTCCAGCCACTGGATCTTGTTCTATCTTTCCCTGCTAAGCTGAAGTGCCCAATACTGAACAATTGTTCTCCACGTAGATAGTTATTGATGATACTCAGTTAACCCCAATCTCCTTTTTGTTAAGCTAAACAGATTGAGCTCTTTGAGTCTATCACTAAAGGGCATGCTTTTTAGTCCTTTAAATCATTCTCGTGGCTCTTCTCTGAACTCTCTCCAATTTATCAATGTCCTTCTTGAACTGTAGGAACCAGAACTGGACACAGTATTCCAGCAGTGGTTGCACCAGTTCTAAATACAGAGGTAAAATAACCTGTCTATTCCTACTCAAGAGCGCCCTGTTTATGCATCCCACAATCACATTAGCTCTTTGGCCCCAGCATCACACTCGGAGCTTCTGTTCAATTGATTACCTATCATGATTCCCCCAAACTTTTTTTCAGCGTCCCTGCTTCCCAGGATAGAGTCCCCTCTATTGTAAGTATGGCCTATATTCTTTATTCCTACTGCATATATTTACATGTTAAAATGCAAATTGCTTGCTTGCCTAAATTTCCCAAAAAATTGGGTTTATAACTATCATGGGGCTTGCAGCTGCAGCTAGAGCACTCAAAGTGGCAGGAAGCAGCCACTATAATATACATGCATATATGTGTGTGTGTATGTGTGTGCATGCCTGTACTTGTACTGCTGGGAGATGTAGGAGAGAACGCAAAAGGGACTGTGAACACATTCAAGCCTCCTATTCTGAAGCACAGACCAAGGCAGCAGGCCTTGCAACATCATTCAAATGTTTGGCAGACTCATTTTGTTTTGTTCCACTGGCATTACTCATCTAGTGTACATCTACCAAGAGAAAGTTATTTCATGAGCCCTACTTCTTCACAGGTCACGGTTTCCAAAAAACTTTTTATTCCTTTTTCCTCCCCTATATTTTTGTTGATTGCTTTATATTGTTTAAGTGAATTTCTAATGAAGAACAGTGACAATGATGAATTATAATGTATGGCACTTAATGGAAAAGGTTTCTTACATGCATAAAGTTGTTAATCCTGACTGGAGTTACCTAGGCCATTTCCTTTGTGAAGCAAGTGCTGAGTTAATCAGCTGCACACTTTGGATCAATAAGTAGAACTAGAAGTACACCTTTTTCCTCTTTTAAACAAAGAAAATGGTTCTGGAGGCCCAGACAGAACGGGACAGACAGCAGAATATCTAGTTTGTTGTGGCTCAAGAGTTTGTCCCCTGTAGCAAAATCCTCCACTCCTGTGTGGTCCTGGGACCAGGGTCTAAGTGCTGTGTTAGCAGAAAGAAATGGGATTAGATCTAAGTCTGAGTTCAAGCCCTGGTCTTACACTGCAGTGTAGACATACTCACGATGGTGTTGGACTGCCACTGTATCTGGGTAGTCCTCCTGGCCCTTTATAGCTTTTATACTCTGCCACAGAATAGTCAGAGCAGGGACCAGAAATAGTCTAGACTCTATAGGTGTCCAATAGTTAGGGTTTTTCTCCTATTTCTAAGTACTAGCACTCTATGTAGGATCACAAATGTGATGTAAATTATATCTATCCCATTTCTCTAAATTGTAACACATACTCTGCTTTTATGTCATGCACATGTATTTTTCATTGTCTATAAAAATCAATGTGATCTGCAGAAACCTGCCTTGAGTATTCGGTGAAGGCACCGCTTTAAAATGTAAAACAACATTAAATGACCCATCATAATCATCAATGTGAGGCTGGAAGGAGCCCTACTGAGGCTGAAATGCTTCTATTTGAAGCAAAGTTACTGTTAAGTGGCTGAAGGTAATTTGCAGATTTGGGAGTTCCCAAAGATACAGACTCTCATCCTTGTCCATGAAAAAGAAGTGAACAGAATGATTCAGGATTGGGGGTGTGCTCCCTTAGCCCAGGGGACTGGTCTAATACACCAGTCTTCAGCTTATTGAAGGGAGGGGCTGAATGTGCTGGCTATTTACCCTTAAAGATGCCCTACACTGAGGTGAAACAAAAAACAGGACTATGTAGCACTTTAAAGACTAACAAGATGGTTTATTAGGTGATGAGCTTTCGTGGGCCAGACCCACTTCCTCAGATCAAATAGTGGAAGAAAATTGGCACAACTATATATACCAAAGGATACAATTAAAAAAATGAACACATATGAAAAGGACAAATCAAATTTCAGAACAGAAAGGGGGTAGAGGGGGGAGGTAAATGTCTGTGAGCTAATGATATTAGAGGTGATAATTGGGGAAGCTATCTTTGTAATGGATAAGATAACTAATGTCTTTGTTTAAACTTAGGTGTAAAGTGTCGAATTTAAGTATGAATCTCTTTTAAGTGTGGTCTGAAAAGGTCTTTGAAGCAGGATGCAGGTAATCAAGTCATTGAGACAATGTCCTTTCTGGCTGAAATGGCAAGAAACTGTTTTTTCTTTGTAATCCTGTCTAATATCTGTTTTATGGGCATTGATTCTTTGGAGAAATGTCACTGAGGTGATCTTCCCTACAGTATAGGACCACTTTGCACCAGAGGCACAAAGTAAAGAAGCCTCAAAACAGAGGAGAATCCATGACTAGTCCATAACATGACTCTGAACTAGAGGTACAGATTGTACCTCCAAAACTGGCACACTCTGGTCTGGCAAGATGCCTCATCCAGCAGGACCCTGGATGCTCCTGGACCACAGAGACTGGGAGCCTAAGGAGGGACAGCTGGGGCTGGGGCAGCTGGGGCAGCATGGGACCAGGGCTTCAGCAGCCCACAGCAGAACAGGGCCAGGATAAAGAGCCTGGCAGCATGGTCCGCACAGGGCTGGAGTTCCTTGGCACCCTACAGGAATGCAGAGCCAGAGCACTGCAGCAGTCCCTGGGAGGCATGGGACTGTAGTTGAGCTTTGCAGCAGCCCAGCGTCAGAGACCCGCAGCAGCCTGCTCCGGAGCCCCACAGCAGCTCTCTGGAGCATGTGGCCAGGGCCAGAGCCCCACAGCAGCCCGCTGGAGCACAGGGCAGGGCCCCAAAGCAGCCCACTAGAGCACAAGGCTGGCAGGAGCCCCATAACAGCCAGCTGGAATGCAGGGCCAGGGCCAGGGCCAGAGCCCCACAACTGCCCCCGGATGTGTGGGGCCGAACCCTGGGGACAAGAGCAGGACTCTGTGCTGTCCAGGGAGCCAGCAGCATCTGAGCAAGCCATCCAGTCAGTTTGGGGGAATGGAGAGGGAGGAGGAGTCAGGGTGCTTGCTGGGGCAGCCTGCCAGCAGTAGGCAATGGAACTTGGGGCCGGTGGCAGGAGACCAGCTCAGTCTGGCAAATTCTCTTGTTTGGGACTGGACAGGTCCCAACGGTGCCGGACCAGGGAGTTCCAACCTATAGTAAGATGTGAAGTAAGAGTTTTCCAATCTGTAAATTCTTTGAATACATGTGAGTGATATTATTTCAGAATGTTTAATCCTCAAGTTACTAAATTCAAATGCTCTATATAGTCCCTCCCCCCATTACAAAAACCAAAAATAGAAGCAAGCCAACCAAAACAGTTGAGGAAAGTTTTTGATGGTTTCCATCAAATTTTGATGGTTTCACTTTAATGATTGCCCATCTATTAGCACAAATACAATGTGTGTACTATAAACAGAGAAGTTGTGCTAGGCAGCCAATCACTGTAGTTCACTCTTAAGGTCTTATAGGTTAGGCATATGTTGAAGTTAACTATGGGAGAATGAAACCAAATAATTACTAAGGGCTCACTTTCCTTTCTTTTTGATTTGGTATTTTTTGGCATTATACAGTGTATGAAATAGGGATTTATACACTGGCACTGATTTCAGAAAGCACAGTAAGTCATGCTCAGACTGGAGAGTGCTCTGATACTGTACCTTCCAACGATCCTCTAGTTAGAGGGCAAGCATCCTTTCACATGCTTTGTTTTCCTACACTCACTTTGAGATGCATTTTTATTTCATGTCCACATTTTTTATTTGTGGCAGAACTTAAGTTTACAATAACCCAAACTGTTTAGAATATCTATCCTCCATCTATTTGTAAAACATGGATGCAGGCTGTAAATGGGGATCAAAAGTGATTTTGGAGTGCCTCAGTGCTTAGGTCTCTCACCTCAGCAAACTGAATGAATTCATTCATGCAATCAGAGACCTGATTTTCATTAAGTGCTGAACACCCACCTGCTGACAATCAGGCCCCTACATTGAAATTCTTCGTAATAGTGCTTATAACTCAACTAGATGAACAAAATGAATAATTATCTGCAAAATTATTTTTAAATTATGTTGTAGATAACAAATAGCTCTTCAACTAGGATTTAAAATCCAAATAAGATCATGACTTTATTTCACACTTACTGGGTGATCTGCATCCAGCTCAGAGCCATACATTAGAACTCTCTGTGAACATCTGTCTAATTCAGCAATCTTCCTGGGGAACCAAGGGACGCAGTCAAGTTCTGTGGAAGATAGAGGGGAATTGAAAATATTAGAGGGGGAAATTGTTGTAGTTCGCAAATTGAAATGTTTACTATTTTCTAAATAAAGCATCTTTACCGTCTTCATCAGTCCAGATGTTTTCTGGTGGATTAAGAGTTACGATGTTAGTCTGAAACTTTAGCAACTGAATTAGTTCATTAAATTCTTTCTTACTGCAGTCACAGTCCACAAAAATTTCTACTTCTGAATTCCTTCTCTTGGATTTTCTTGATTCAATGTGAACCATACTCACATGTTTTTCCTGTGGGAAGATGAAACATTGGACTCCATACGTAAACGATTCATTTAGAACAATATAATTGGCAGCATATTAAATATATTTTTAAAGTAATAGAAGTTTACATTAAAGATACTCAGCCTTCACTTAAATGCATAATGAGGAATTTGAAGTGTGTTCAGGGGAAAATGACGCAAGTTTAATGTATTATTCTTTTCATTAGATGATGATGATTATTATTATAGTCCCAGGGAATTTAAAGGTGATTTACCAAGATCATCTTTTGCAAAGAATATTGTATTCGTTGCTTTAAAAGGGATAATACAATGGTACATTGATAAGAGACGCAGATACAAAATATTCAGTTGGTGTTCATTTCAGTATATTTTAGTTTTTCCAACAAAGGGCACAATTGGTACAAAAACAGCATTTTATTCAATATGTCTCTGACAAATAAAGCCAATATTTATTTTGTGATTATAAGTATATTTCATTTCTCATCTACTTTTCTTGTACTAAGTATGAATGACCTAGAATAAGAATAACAAAATGGAAGTCCAGACCAATTGATTCTCTAGAATAATGACCTTGGCAAGATCTACAACTTAGTGAATATGGGTGTCAAAATGGCTTTATCATTAATAATGCCTCTCCCATCACAACTTCTGATTTGCTAATGGATGTCAAACATTCATAATTATTTCTACTTTTGCATGAGGCACAACCGGTCAACCAATCCATTACTTATGACTACCTCCCTCTCCACCCACTAAAGGATGTCAAATCTGAAAAGATCTGGTCTATCTTTCTTGGCCACTATACTGCATTTTCATTCTGGGTGAAATTCACCCCAAGACAAAAGGCCAAACACAAGTTTCCAACAATGCTTACGCACCTTTAGGGCTTACATGTTACATAGTTTTTCCTCTGACCTTCTACATAGGGGTATGTTTCATCCTTGGTTAATACATTTTCATCTTTTATAGCTTTCATCCTGATTATTTGTTGTAAACTCTTGAAGATATTTCAGTTCTTGTTCTTGGGTACTGAATGAGTACCTAGTTGCATTAGTGGCATTCCCCCTGGCACTACAGCTGCTGACATACTAAAGCCTCACTCCTGTAACTGATAGGGTATAGATGACCTGCTATGCTAGTGACTCTGTCCATATGCACTGAACTGTATTAGGGCCTGACTGTATATTAATACTCCATAATTCCCATTCTGCTGACCAAGACCCTGTTCTAACACTGCACTAAAGCATGTGCTTAATTTAAAGCACATAAATAGTCCTACTGGAGTCAACACCAACACTGGGAGTCAATGGGATGACTCGTGTGTTTTAAACTTTATCACAAGCTTCAGTACTTTGCTGGCTTAGGGCATTTAATAGCTAGAACTTTAGCAGTCCATTCACTTAATGGGAACTATGTATAGGCCCAAAGTCAAACACATGCTTACAAGCTTTGCTGGACTGGTTACATACTCTGTAGGTAATCAAATGGAAAGTATTATTTCATGTACTTCTTTGTCTTCAGTGGTGCTACACCAGTTTACACTAGCTGACAATTAAGCCAGATGTCCCTTCCTATTCCAATAATAATAATTATTTGCAATATTTACCTGGAAGAGTCTCAGAGCTTTCACCAATCCACCAATTTCATTTTTCAAGGAAAACACTACAGCTGTCTTTCCACTATCAGAAACCGATTCACTTTTGCCGCTTCCTTTATTTCCTTTCTTTTCATCATTTTTACCAGAATTGGCTCTGTTTGGCTGCAAGAAAGTAGATAAAAATGCATTCATTTCAAATGAACATTTTTGAAAAATATCAAACATTCCTTTCACACAGACAGCTTTTGCCAGAAAATACCTCAATTAAAATGATCCTGACTATAAAAAAAGGTAAGCAGCATATTCAAAATCAGAAAAAGTTGTGGCAAACGTCAAAGACATAAGAGACTAATACAGAAATATGACACAAATATCGCAATGTTATTATAAGTAGTAATCAGCAAAGACTGGACGGAACAATTCCTTATTTGGCTTTACTGTTGCATCTCTGACGGCAATGGAGTTGTGTCAATTGACACCACTGATTATCTAGCCCACAGTTTTGACTCTATTTGAATTGTCCATAAAATCCATAAACAGAAATGTTGTATTCTACATTGCACTAGATTTAAAGTTGACACCTATTTTTCATTGCTCTTAATGAACTAAAAACTATCCATTGATTATATCAATTAAACAGGAAGATATGTTTAGGTTCTATCTATCAGAAGAAATTTGAATTAGCTGAACCTTTTAAAAATAGTTTCAAGCCAAATAAATCTGACCAGTTACCCCAAAGGACATTTCTCTTTTTTAAATTTTCACATTGTTGAGCCTCCCACACCTGTAAACTTCTCTTACCATTCAGTTTCCTTCCCTATTTCACAATAGCACATTATCATCAACTTCACAGCTTAAGTCTTTTTGAGGTGCTTCTAAGTAGTCCATCTATACCAAGAGCTTTAGTCATAGTGGCCAAGATTTTCAAAAGTGACTAGCAGATTTGGATGTCATGCTTGAGACACCTGAATGCAGACAAATCTTCAGAGGGCATGTGTTCTTCACTTTTGGTAAATTAGAAGACCCCTTTTAAATGTTTCAGATGTTTGCAACCAAAAAATATCATTATCTCGATCACTGTGTCCATTTCAGATTTAACTGTTCATTAGTATATTCTGTTCTTGAGATAAAAACAATAAGCCAACAATTTGGGGAATGGGGAGCCAACAATAAAAGGGTGCAGCTAAAAAGGCTTGAAACAGTTAAAGCCATGTTCAACCTGTTCTAAAAATTAGTTTTAAGAATAGGTGGGAACCCTGAGGCAAATCATCTCCTTGTTTCCATCAGATCCTCCACTGACTTCAGCAGAGCTGTGAATTTATTCCAACTGAAGATATGCCCTGAGTCCCAATCTCTGCTTTCAAAAGAAGCTTTAACAAGATTTTGCCTATTCCTCATCGACCAGGCAAAGTATTTTGAACTTATTTTACACTAACTCCTTTTAAAATTGGATCAGATCCTTTCTACCCAAATCTCCATTTGTGGCAACAAGGACTAATCTGTTAACTGATGAAGTTTCACTACAGACAGTTCAGTGCATACAGACTAACCATGCTAGTCCATACTAGAAGTGTCCTATACCATTTAAGTTATAATATCGTCTGGGTAAGTAGCATGCAGTTCCCAGTTCAGTTTCCAAAAGCTAGGCATTCTGGAATACTTCAGACAGACAGCATACATGGCAGAAAGTAAAGAGATGAGTAATGTATTTCAGCATCTGAGTCCACATTGGCACCAAGGGTACGTCTAGACTACAGGTTTTTGTCGACAGAGGCTTTGTCGATAGATAATGTCAACAAAGCTTCTGTCGACAAAGAGAGTCTAGACTACATCCAGATCTGTCGACAAAGCAAGCCACTTTGTCGACCTGAGACTGTAGACGCAAAGGGCAGTGTAGATGCACTAACGCCTTCTGTCGACAGAACTCTGTTATTCCTCGTAGAATTAGGTTTACCAGCGTCGACAAAACTGCCGAGTTCTGTCGACGTTATGTAGGCTAGACACACCATACATGTGTACATTGGCAGTAACAAGCAGACGCAGTTAAACTAACTAGTTTCAAAACTAATTAAAACCTGCACCCTGTTTTAACCCTTTATTAGAATATTTGTGAATTATCTAGGGCACGGCTACTCAACTTTGGAAGGCCCAGGGCCACATTAATACTCACAGCACATGCCGAGGGCCACAACCCATGTGACAGCACTTTTAATAAGCAATGAGGGTATGTCTACACTACCAGCCTAGTTCGAACTAGGGTGGTTAATGTAGGCATTCGAAGTTGCAAATGAAGCCCAGGATTTGAATTTCTTGGGCTTCATTTGCATCTTGCCGGGCGCCGCCATTTTTAAAGCTCCGGTAGTTCGGACTCCGTGCCCGCGGCTACACGCGGCACGGAGTAGGTAGTTCGGATTAGGCTCTCTAATCCGAACTGCCGTTACTCCTCGTGGAACGAGGTTGCCTACATTAACCACACTAGTTCGAACTAGGGTGGTAGTGTAGACATACCCTCAGCCTCTCCTCATAGGTCATGCGCTCCGGCCCCCTAATAATTTTGGTTGCCCACCGCTGGACCCTCTCCAGTGCGTCCACATCCTTTCAATAGTGGGGGGCCCAGAACTGGACACAATATTCCAAATGTGGCCCCACCAGAGCCAAATAAAGGGGAATAATCACTTCTGTGGATCTGCTGGCAATGCTCCTCCTAATGTGCCCTAATATGTCATTAGCCTTCTTGGCTACAAGGGCGTCCTGTTGACTCATATCCAGCTTCTCAGCCAGTGGAATCCCCAGGTCCTTTTCTGCAGAACTGCTACTTAGCCATTCAGTCTCCAGTAGGCCTCGCGTTGGGTAGCCCTGATCTAGGGTGGTTTTGTCTGTATGGGCATAGATCATATTAGAGGATTTAACCAATTTAATTGTTCTTGTGAAAACTTGCTCTGCCAGCAACAAGCACAGGTGCACCAATGTGGTATACAGTTTAGCAGGAAAATAAGCTTGCACATAGTTTTTTAATTGTTTGGCCAGTCAAAACTTGTTTGAATCCAGTTTACTTAGAACTTGTGGAAAGGGCCAAGCAGTTCAAAAGTCATGTCTGGGCCTAGTTCCCTATTTTATGTTATTTTATGTTCAAAAACATTTAAAAAAATTAAACAATGTTTGCCCCCATATTGGATAATAGGATTGTCTGAAATCAATCCAGATGGAATTATGTTTAGATTGACTCCAAACTCAATGGTTAAAACATTTTTCAAACATGGGTAAAAGTTAAGTGTAGACAAGATCTGCATGGGTTTGCATTTATTAAATGGATCACCCCATTGTCTTTAGTTGGTAATCCTCTTTTAGGTCCTGATTCAGGAAAACAGTCTAGTGTACACTTAATTTGAAATATGTGCTCCTAATATATTTCTTTTTAATATTTTGTTATAATAAACATTTTTCAAATTATTTTTGGGAGATAGCTTATCTGTGAAGTATGCAGCCTACACTTGCTTTGACAAAATGCTATTTTTAATTTTGCAGTCTATCCTCTAGACTTGTCAGCTGTGTACACATTTTTGGAAGAAAAGTACATAGCAGCATGATAATTAACTACCCAATCCTGAAAGGTGCACAGCACCTACTGACTTTAAGTGGGAAATTATGGTATTCAGCATCTCTCAAGACTGAGCCCCCGTGTTCTGTAATTGTGACAAATGAATAATATCTGAAGCGACTGCTATAAGCCACCATTCCCCTTTGCTAAACTAGATGAGTTAATCATTATGAACACAACAGAAGAAATTGTGATACTGTGAGAACTAGCTTTATTAGCCATGCAAGTTACTACTCTATATCGGGTGCATCTACACTGCACCATTATTTCGGAATAATTAGCATTATTCCAAAATAACAATGTGAGCATTTATATAGCAATTCCATTATTTTGAAATAATATTAAAACAGGCAACTTATTCCAGCTTCTGTAAACCTCATTCCACGAGGAATAACTCCTCTTCCGAAATAGATATTTCAAAATAGCTGCAGTGTGGACATTCCACTGCTGCTATTTTGAAATAGCTCCTCACCAGGGTCATTCCTAGTAATATCCTCCCAGTGCTTCCTGCGGCTCTAAATCGAGATAGTGCATCCACATTAGGGGAGCCTGCCTCTGACTAATTTTTAAGCTTCCCTGAAGTGTGGACACTATTTCAAAATAAGTTATTTTGGAATATATCTTCTGGAATAGCTTACAGGCAGTCCCCGGGTTACATACAAGATAGGGACTGTAGGTTTGTTCTTAAGTTGAATTTGTATGTAAGTCGGAACTGGTACATATTGTAGGGGAAACTCTAGCCAAACATTTCTCCAGAGCTCAGTTTTATTCTCCCACACCTCACTTCCCTCAGTCCTTTATTCTCAAGCTGAAGTGTCTGCTGAGAAAAGCCGCTCCGCATCTCCCTGGTCTGCTGGGGGGGAAGCAGCTAGTGCGGGATTGCCTCACCCCGTTTGTAAGTAGGGATCCGATGTAAGTCGGATCCATGTAACCCGGGGACTGCCTGTATTTTAAATCTAGTCTCCAAATGTTCACTACAAAAGTTTTGCAACATCTCACTACAGGTTGAACCTCTCTAGTCTAGCACCCTTGGGACCTGATAGGTGCCAAACCAGAGAATTTGCCAAAGCACGGGATATCTGTATTGTCAAGCATCAATACCAACACTTCCACTGCTTACTGGGCTCTTAGAATATATTTAGGGGTAAGTCAGAAAGAACGAAGTAATAGCACAGAACACAGAGCCAGGACTGGTGGCTGTAAACAAACTTTATGGGACTGTCGGAAACTTGACCACATCCCTGATAAGCAGACAATCAGCTAACTAAAATCATGCTGGACTATGGATATTGCTGGACTAGAGAGGTTCAAACTGTACTACATAAGGCAATTATTTTACTTGCCTATTTCTACACTAGATGACATAAGCAACTTTACTCAGGCATTAGAAGAATAAATAATACAAGGCCTCTCTCCCTATAAACGAAGGCCACTGCTATGAGGGGTCTGTGGTGGCTTCCCCTCCACCCCACCCCAGGCCCCTCATAGCCCCCCCTTCTGATAGTCCAGCATATCTGATAATCCGGCACCTCCTGGGTCCTAAAGGTGCCGGATTATCGGAAGTTTACGGTATTTGGAAATGCAAACTTTTCCGCAGATCACCAGCCAACCACCCATGATGACAAGATGGGTGCAGGAACGTGTGGGAGTGTGAGGTCTGGGTGGAAGGGAGGGTGCAGGAGGGGGATGGGGATAGGGGTCTCAGTCTAGGTGGGAGGGGTGTGTGAGATGGGTGGGAGAAGGGATCTGAGCATTAGGGGGATACAGGGATTTGGCCAATGGGAACAGTGGGAAAGGCATCCAATCAAGTGGTTTCCTGCACTGCCATACTGCCAGCTGGGTAGCGAGGGAGCAGCAACGCACAGAGTCGCTTCCTGCCCCCACAAGCCGGATCTGGCCCGCAAGGCTCAGGGCTCTCCATTCCACAGCAGGAAGCTGGCACTGGCGCTCCAACCTTGCAGAGGGAGTGTGATCCTTATTCTAAGGTTACCCATTGATATCAATAACGCAAATAAAACAGTGATGAATAAACACTTAAATAGTCATTTATGGTATTAGCACAAAAAGGGATATGTCATCTTTACTATAAAGACAATGGATCAAACCCACATTTGATGTAAAATGGCATAACTCCAGTGAATCCAATAAAGCTATGCTGAATTACACCAATTGAGGGTTCGGCTCCATATTTTCCACAGGAGATGTATATGTGTTTGTGTATGTCTCTCTTTCTCTCCCTCTCTCTGTTTTGCTATAAATTATTTAAGCAAAGATTATTAGTATATAGGAG